TCACATACTGATCTTATCGGAAGGGTTTCACTTTATGAGGGATATGTCGATGATATAGTCGTTATATGTGAGGAGCCTGACGATGCGATGTGTCCACTAGAGAAGATGAACACAGCTGCAAATCATATTAGCCTTCCTTGCGAAAAAGAGATGAACAACCAGCTATTATTCTTAGACTCAGTGCTTAATCGATAGTTGGATGGCTTGATCAGGAAGTCGATCAATAGGAAGGCCTACATGGATAGGGCAATATCTTAGTTTCTATAGCTATTTCCTATTCCAATATAAACGCGGTTTAGTTAGCTGCCTCTTCAGCAGGATAAATCGCATCTGCACTAATGACAGGAAGAAGGAAGAAAACCAACTTATTGACGACAACACTGATAAAGAATAGCTATCCACTGAAATTTATCGATAGGTACAAAGTATATGTTGCATTGAAAAGTATGCAGTGTTTTGTTGCTAAGACAAACGTCTACATCTTATTACCATCTAAAGGTGATTCACATAGCTTTATTGTGAGGAAACGGCTTAGATCAGCCATATGTAAAACATATTATGTAGCCAAGATCATCATTGTAGAGAAGACAGAGTTCATGTTACAACACAAATCAGAACAACATATAAACGATTACACGACATCCCACTGTTTTCATCAATTTACATGTATACGTGGACACACATACACACATAGGGAGGAGTAATCATGATATGCAGCCAAGGATGGTTCAACGTGTACTAACTGGCTTCAGAAACAAATGACCTCAACAGACCTGATAGGTGTAGGTGACAAATGTTCATCTTCATCTATTGTTAAACACACACTAGAAACTAGTCACAAGGTAGACATGGGAACACCCTTTAAAGTACTACACGAAAGTGGTCAGGGTCGAGGGCTTAAATTTATTGAAGCTGTTGCCATCCCTAAATTCAAACCCCATTTATGTATACAAAACAATTTGTACTCACGTTGAACCTACCTTGATAGTATTGACTTCGATTTTCATGCCAAGTGTGATGTGATTTAGATTTTGTTTTCTTCTCTGCCCTTCTTATTACTATGTTACCTATTGGCTTCATTGACCCTTTACGTAGATTTTCATATAAATAGTTCAACAAGTCCATGTGTGATCAGATCGTTTGAAATACATAGCGCTAATCCATCAAATGTTTCAGATAATCTTCCTCTTTTCGTTGTGCTTTTCATAATTCTTCATTACATATTTTGATTTTTGTCGTGTGGTTTTAGTTTTCCTGCTACGTAGTTTGCTAAATTGTATATCTTTTGATTAGTAAATTCGATAGCTGTTCCGTGAGGCGTATCTTTCTTTTGGATTTTCGGTAGTCTTAGGATTGCCACTTGTATTGTTAATTAGATCCATAGAGATGTATCTTAATTTTCTTGTGTAGTTTTTTGAGCTTTGCTAGTTTTGGCTTTCAGTTTGTTAACCCTGACCCATCATTTTGTAGCATTAATTTTCTGGTAGGGATTCGTGTCAGGATGATTCTTTAGCCTTGTTCACGTAATCATTTTGGTTGAGTATCACTGTGATGTTTCCTTTATCTGCTCTCGTGATGATAATATTCTTATTTTTGCATCTCTGCTTCATAGCAGTTTGTTCCCACTTATTCATTTTTGATTTGTCAGGCTTTCGTTGTAGTTATATCCTTGATATTTTATGTCTAATCCCATTCTCTGTTTCACTTCATATGCTGTTGAAAACTGATTCGAATGGAGTCGGAATTTCAAAATATGACAGAAACAGTTTGTTCAAATAAAATTCTGAATGAGGGATAATTCACATTTAAACAAATTTTTATAAGGAATTTTGACTACCACTTTATTCGTTTCGAGGTTATTGGATTCATTTTCATTGTGGTGGCTTTGAAGAACTGTCTTAATGAGAACCCGACGGACTCGGTGGCCAATCACTAAGTATTGGAACTTGCGATATATCCACGAACACGAGACCAAGAAACAACACAATAGCGTAGTCGGACGGAACAGTGTGCTTGCGAGGTCGGGCCGAGATACCGATGCGTTCTAACTAATTGGGTAGAGGGTCGATTACAAGCAGTGAAACGTAACACGACAGCGTGCCAAATGGCGAAGATGCTTGACCAGGTGCCTTCAGCTGGGCGAGTCCAGTCAAACTATGAAGGTCAGCACCAATGTTGAGTCTCGTCGAACCCTAGGCTATTGATTTTGGGGAAGTGTGTGACGCTACAGGCTCTTATGATTTGGCTTGTGGTGGAGCATTCGTTCAAACTCTTTAACTCATTTCTTTCTGGATGTTTGAAAATAATACTCCTCTTTGTTAGTTTGATAAAAGGATCTATAGTTGGTCTCAGTTTTGTGACGGCAGGCAAGGATAATATGTCGTCAGGGTTTCTGATGCGAAAAGGAGGCGTTTCCAGATAGTAGGTGACTGGCTCTATGAATCCGTTATCTCAGGAAAGTTTTTGTAGCTGAAAAAACCGCTCTTACAGATTAGTTGGAATTATCACATTCCCTGACTGTCAACGAATTCGGCTAAATATATTGATATAGACAACGAAGATTAGAAATACGATGATTGCACCAGTTATGTAGTTTCTTTGATAATTTAATACGATTACAGTAATTTGTTGATCTGCATCATGCTACATAAATTTTTGAGGAATAAATTGTGTCTATCATGTTGGTATTCATCTACACAACTAAAACCTAGTGGTAAACTCTAGTAGAAACTTGATCATTTAAATAATAGTCGAATATGAATAGCTGTGCAGTTTGATTAAACTGAATATAAACAAACCAGGATGCACTGCTTGTGTTAATTCTTTTCCTGCTTCCGCTTATCTCTTCTGATTTTGCATAAATTTTTGTCCTAACGTTCTATTTTATTTTACGCCATCGAATATTTTAACCCACCAGCTAACTATGGCAATCCGTTCTTTTTTGAAACTTTTGTCAGTGGTTAACCACAAACAGCTGTCTTTCATTTTGTTGCTGAACTCCCTGTAAAGTGTTTTATACAGCGTTGAGCACAGGCACCTTGTGATTTGAGGTTTGTAAGGTATATATATAAGTCTTTATTGTCATTCACTGGCACATTATCGTACTGCAATCAAATTGTGCTGCTTGGATGTTACGTTTCACTCTTTTGCTCATTGGTAGGATAATCAACTAATCGTCTCAGTTTCTGGGATACAACTCACAACTGGAGACGGTCCAAGAAATCGATCCGCTTATGAATTGGTGCAGGAGAAATTCCCAGAGGTTTATAATACTAATGAAATGAAATGATTTTGATGTTAGACATGATTAGTGTCATTATTATCGCTACTTTTTTATCACCAATATGTTGTTAACGCTCTCAGTAGCATTTATTATTCGTCTTGCAAATGTAGTGAGGCCCACTCATATTTCCAGAATTATATGGAAGATATCTCCTTACTCAGAAAATACATGTGCTCAAATAGTTTCTGTTGCTACACCGTACAGTACAGTTTCACAAAACCTGTTCGATGAATGCCCAAATGTGACGGTTTTCACAGGCATTTTTCCTTTTGAAACTGACTTTATGAACTTATCCTGAAGAATTCAACAGTTGGATTAAAGTTCCACTTCACTGTGTTCTTTTCTTTCATCCTGCATATGAAAGTTAGTTACTTCTTTACTACCCTGCCAGTGAAAAGTGATTTCTAATCATACGAGAGCTACAAAAACAAGACCCGCAGAATAAAGCAAATTCATTTTGTTTATTGACGTCTCTTCAGATGCAGATAACCCGAACTACACCAAGATTAAATTTAAATGAAAATAACGATATAATTTAGTCATTTTGTGGAAGAAATAATGTTAAAGTTTGGAAAAAAATGGAGCTCTAAATAAAGTTTGTTCATCTATATTTGGTTGGAGGTAAGACTGTCGATCCAAAAAGTTGTGAGAAGGGAACAGAATTAATAGTGAAACGTAAGATTAAGACATTGGGATACCAGAAAAGCTGTGTTTCGATATATGCGATATAAAGTTCATTGAATACCAGTTGATCGGTCGAACAGATGTGAAGAGCAGTGGTGACGTAATGCAATCAAGAAAGAAGTTATGGGGGTCCCTTTGATTAATGATCGATTCTTCTGCTTGATCCCAAGCAACTTTCATGAATAGTAAAATTGTAGCCTTCTAGAAACGTGCAATGGCAATTTCAGAATGTATAAAATGCGTTTGTCGCCACTCGAATGCAAGTTGTTACCCTACAACTGCCTCTTCAGCAGCACCCTGGCTAACAGTAGGGAGTAAAGTGGTTGAGTGCGTTGATCAATTCCATTTACCTAAGAAGTTGGATCAGGTCACGTGGGTCAGTTGTCGATCAAGTCTAAGCTAGAATACAAAACGCCCGACTGACTTGTGCCACCGTGATATCCAATCGCCTATTAAGGGTCGATTGTACTGTGCCCCAGTTCGCTCTGTTCTACTGTGTGGCTATAAAACATGGCCACTAAAGATAGAGGATATGAGAAAGCTTCGAGTGGCTGACCACTGTTGGCTTCGTAGGAAACACCATGTGCTGTGGTGCCGCCGCACGAGTAACGCAGGTGTAGAGTTTTAGGGAGAGGAATAGGTCAATTGATGTGGTTGCGGACCTTCACTGACTGAGATGGCTGCGACACTTGTTACGCATATCTGGTCACCGTCTGCAACATCTCCTAATGTCAGCTGAAATAGGTTTAGGTTGAAAAAAAGGCTTGAAGCAGACACATAAAGACAAGGCATCACTGCATAAAGTTCTTTATCGTTGATTTGGACTATGTTGAGAGATGTAGACTAACCGGCTGAGGTTCGTGGGATAACAGAAACCAGGGATTGGAGATTCTTGATGAAATAGTTCACCATCGATGTCAGCGACAGACTAACTGAAAAAATCAACCTTGTACATCTCACGGAAGTGCACTAGGTCAGTTTGACACACGTCCCGGTAGAACACGAAGAACACGTGGATGGGAAAAGAGTAATATCAAAGATGACCAGTAAAATGAAACCCACCAAATGTGTGTCTTCCCACTGGTTCATCGTTAATAAGATCATCAAGCAGGTTTCTAAAATAATTCGTCAGAAATTCCATTACAATAATAAACCAATGATCTTAACATACCTGCACGCAACGACATCTGTGGATTTTTCACAACTATAAAGTTAATTACGTGAAAACAACTTACTGGTGAGCGTTGCTCTCCTGTGTTTTCCGCTCACTAACACCTGCTTTATCTTTACTGAGTTCTTCTGAAAGATTTCCTATCCACCTTTAAACTATGAAATTTAAAAATAAACAGCCAACTTTGTTCGTGCAGCTCTGAAGGGTGTTACAAGCAATTTTTTGAAAGAGTGACAACTAACACGAAATCTGTGGTAGATTTTTCGGGTTAAGCTATCCGCAAACTCACTTGGATGATACACCAAGATAACAGGTAACCATCAACAAATATAGGATGCTCTGTATGGGACAGCGAACAGGATTAGAAGCTTTGTAATCTTCAACGCTGAAAAACTGCTGTCTAACCTACAGGAAAAAGTAAATCAAATGAATCCGCAGCTAATTAGACTAATGTGCTGATAACCATCACCATTCATGCAACCACCTGATGGTTGTTACTAAGTATTAAATACTTCAAAGCGGAGCCCCATGATACTTTAACGAAAAACATATATTTGCTCAAATTCTTGTCTTTTCAGTGTTATCGCAGCAACATTCCGCGTACTAGGATCTGCAACTCACTTTTAAAACACTGACTGACTGAAAAACTCAAGGTTTAACCTCGCACACAATTGCATCGATTCATTACACCACATTTCACAGCAGCATGAGAAGGACAAGATAGAAAAAGACTGGTATCAAAGGTGATAAACTGGTGTGAAAGAATAAACAATTTGAAGATAACGGTTAGAGCGAATATTCAAGCTTTAGATGTCAAGGAGTGAATACATTTGCGCCATTGTGGCTGATTTCCAACCGCGTATTCGAGAGTCCTCAGCTAATGATTCCCTTCGTCTCGAAGACCACAACCAGGTAGTCCACATCTCCCCACACAGCTCAGACCAACAATAAGAGACTTCATCGACTGGTGCCATATCTTCATCTGGCCACTCTCTTACAACCTAATCCAACTTCCCCTAAAATTCCACGTTGAGGTAGATGGTGGCTCGGTATGCGCAGTACACATCCAAGCCATCTCAGTCGACTAAAGGGTACATCTTCTTGAGGTACCTGGATGAGAAAAGATTTGTGTAACTGCGGATCCTATGAGACATGTGCTTGAGACCTGTCACAGTTTTTTGTGGATTGTTGTTTTGAGGTTTGGTCGTTCCAACCCCGGATAGAGAAAACTAATACCACCAACAACGGAGGATTTTGAGGCATGGTGGAGTGTGTTACTTTTTCAGACCGACCTCTTCTAACTCCAATCCCCTCCGTTGAAAAGTCAGCATAAACGAGGCACTGCTGGTCTCCTAAGAGAAACACCTTACTGCTATCACACCCGATCCAGCCAGCAGCAGCGTGACTTCGCTCCCAGAACTCCATCATACTGTATTAATTTTTATTACAACGGTAACTGCTTTTCGTCTCACGCTTAATCATCTAACAGAGCTCTGTGGAATGGTAGGACCTAGAGGGAACAAATGTTCTACCAGCATACCTCGCTTGGTCATTGTGATATGCAAGCCCGACCAACACATGAAGGTTGCAGCTGTTAACTAGAATCAATGTCAGCGGTGAGGATGTATCCACACATTATCGTCATCTTAGCCACCATACTGAACTCAGGATTTCCTCTTGCTCTCTACTGCTGCTTTCGGTCGACTTTTCTCCCTTTCTTCATCCCTCGTTTTAGTGCTTTGTCGCTTGTTGTGCTGATGTGAGGGGCGGCAACTTGGACCGTTATGCCGTAATACTTGGTCCTTTTTCGATACTGATTGAGTCTTTCGATCGCTTATTTTACAGTATCCGATGCAACTTCATTGAATACCAGAATATCTTGTCAGACAGCGACTGGATTTTTTTCATAATCAAAGTATTTAGGATTTGTATTACCCATATGTTCCTCCTTCCAGTCCACTTATTTTAACAATGTTTGATTTAAGGAAATATCTGTATACGGTGATGTGGAATTCCAATTTATCTAGTGTTGATAATTTCACTGCACCACGTGTTGTGTTGAGAAAAGTACGCTTTGCAAGTAGACAGGCGTTTCAGGAGATAACCATAAATCTTTTTCCAGTTGAGTCTGTAGTACTATGTCGTTTAAGCCGTCAGGTTAAGGACTTTCGGTTTCTTCCAAGCTATGAATTTCAGGCAGGTGTTTTCATTACTTTTCTAAGTATCAAACTAGTTTATTACAAGACAAGTAAGTTTGAAACTCATTTGTTCGATTCACAGTCTACTATTTTACGGCAGTTTTTAAATCTGAAAGTTTTGGAATAATCCGTCTTCACCGAGCGGAATAGTCGTAAAAAAGTTGTTTGAATACACACCAATCAATTACTCTTTAAATAGTTGCTGCAATTCACTTTAGTCATTTTCATATAGAGAATCAGCGTAACAAAAACTGAGTTTGCAGCTGAAAACCTTCACAATCCAAGTCTCATGACCAAATCTCACAACCAGTTTGGTCATAGATATGGTTTTAGTCCGTTAGTGCAACTACCAGTTTTAATAGATCCGAGATGTGAGGGGATGCGTTTAATTCGTGTATACAGTTAGTCCAGTGCCCGTTGCTAGTAATTCGATTAACGACGCGTATTGAAAAGACCAAAACACGAATGTTTTATGAACGACGTATTTCAAGAGCACCTTGATCAGTAAACCGAAAACCAAAAGAAGCGAGGTGTAAAAAGCTTGAAGTGTATGGAATGTCCTCAGGGATTCTTGATGCAAACGAACATCCCAAAATGTACATTGCATAACAACTGGATGATATGTTCGAGGGAACAAATTGAGGTTACTAATATGCACAAGCACAGATTAGATCTCGCATCAAACTTGTCATCATTACTGTTTTGTTATTCCCTAACATATTTGTAACGCATTCGCAACCTTACTCTTTCACTTCCCAGTTTCGACCTCTAGACTGCGTCACCTCTTCGTTGCCAAGTTTTACCGTTTACCAGTTATCTTTTATTAATAGAAGTAAGTACATTCTGTGCACTTGCTGAATCACCGGCTTACCCACTTCTCTTCTTCTTTCCCCTTCCAGATTCTCGTAGCCACCAGTAAACTCACACTGCTCTACGCGTCCCCCGCAACAACGTGCCTACATACCTACAGGCTGGACGAAAACTTACCAATGGCTGGTCGTTACATATCCATCTACCTGAAGCTACTGGTCTTTCTCCTCCCCCCTAAGGATACACAAGGTTTTTCTAACATATTTATTCTGTTTGATACATCTACTAGGAAATTTTTATACAGCAATATTTCAAATTGACTGCTTCTTTTCGGTGGTCGATTCAAAGGATAATTTAACCGTTTCCTATACCTAAACAGCCTTTACTGGTTATCGCACAATTTATTCTCCGTGACGGAACTTTACTTCTTGGCAACTTTGATCGTCGTATTTCCACGTAGTTTTGGCAAATGCCTTGGCATCCAATGTGTACATCGGAATCAGTGAAATACATTCTTTCTTGTCAGATTTCCCTCCATTATTTTCACTTGACACTTTTTCGCCGCTTCAACTCTGAGTGTGCCTACAGTCCCCTATTGCTCTCACTATTTAAATTACGTGGGTCAATAGTGTTTGAGGTACTGATAAGGAGGACAGCATTTGGTTCACATAGATTTATTTACTGAATGAAGACGTAGGCTTAATAATTTTGCATTGCTTTGAGGCTTGCGATCAAGTTTGACTTGAGACGCCTTATCTAAATGTTGAATGGACGGTATAATTTACGATAGTCTAGTCACTTAGTATAAGACAGAAGGCAGAACTGAGTGGGTGAGTATCTGCTTCAACCGAAGAATATGAATTTTATGACGCAGCCGTTGTTTTCGAAAACAATTTCGGAACTGATCTGCCGTAAACTTCACATATACAACGCCAATCACCAGTTATTCGTATTTTGTGCAAGAATAAGAATAAGAAAAACAGTATAGTAGCCAGGTAGAACAGTATATTTGACAACCCTGGCTAAAACACCGACGAGTTCGAACTAACTGGCTAGATGATCGTGACTAAGCAATGCAAAGTAACTCGACACGACCGCGCGCCAAATTGTGTGGATGCCTTGCCGTGTGTTTTATCTTAACAAGTCCGTTAAAACTACAAAGGTTAGAGTCAATTATGAATCTCGTCGGACCCAAGGTAGCTGATTTTGAAGAATTATTTGCCGCTACGACAGTAAGGTGTCTTTTGGCCAAACACATGACCAACCATACCGAAAGTAGGACAACCAGTATGAATATAGAGTTTAGAGGGACGAGATTAAGGAAAGTAAAAGTTGAGGGGGAAAAGGAGAAGAAAAGGGAAGTCCAAATTTTCCATGAAGTAAAATTATGAATAATGGCGATGAAACGTTCACTTTTTGAGATCTTATATCCCTAATATCTTTCTTCTTGAGAAATTACAATTTCTAGCTTATAAGAGTATCTGAAGTGAGTCCCTCTATCCCCTAAACGGTATCTTCTGAAATTGTTTCTTGCCTATAAGTTAAGATGTATCCATCGCGACTTCTACAGGAAGTCTGGCACTGGTCTTGGATGAAGCTGACTTCTCTGCCGCCTGATAGTTACGTCGTACATCACACTTTCGTGCCTACTGATGACTGCTCGAGTTATCGATCTGTCGTACTCAGATCGATAGTCTCCAGAAATTACTGTCGTTGCTGCTTTGAATACCCTCGACGTACTCAGACCTCTAAGTGTAAGAATCGGTTTTATTAAAGCCTTCCAGTTCCTTTAATGTAGATGGCCTTACGATTGCATACAAGGGTATGAATACTGGCTCCTCTCCGTATAATGAACTTAAAGAATACTTTCTCAAAGCCACTACGGTACATCCCCCCCCCCAAAAAAAAACGGCTTAAGAACCTTATAATGGAAGGACTATGTAGTTGACTTCACATACATACATGAAAATGTACATAAAGTCCAAATAATTAATAAAAAAGAATAGGGACTTCTCTCTTCTCCAAGTTTGTTAGCGTAGTAATTTCTCTTTCCATATCTGCTCGTGCTTCTTCTTTCTTTCCCCATTTGCAAAAACATCTGCAAGTAGACATTTGATGTCCAAATTCAGTCTGAACATGATTACTTTATGGGAATAATACCTGCTCATTGACGCCAATAATTATTAGAATGCTCCCACTCCTTCACAAATTCTGGACCATCTTCAAGATTAACTCACTTACTGGTCATGATTCTTCTTGCAACCAACCGTCTGACCATTTCCAGAAGTATTAGTAGCAGAGAAATTCTGAGCAGATGATTGAACCCGAGACCAATTTACATATTGGCTCAGGACGTCACTTACCTGCAATGGCTACACACTACATATTTTCTAGTACTCTGTACCAAGAGACCTTTTCATATAAAACTTGCCATGATTCAAATACACTTCTCGAATGATGCCGCGTATGCTAATACAAAAGATACCCGATGTCTATGTATAAATACTGCCACTTGGACTATTGACTGTTTCAACATCTATTTCCATCCAATACAACAAGTGTTACCAGCAGAATTAATCTATATTACCTTTAAACGTTACACGGTGACCTGGAGATGCATTGATATAGCTGTAGCGTCATACACTTCCCCAAAATCAATAGCCTAGGGTTTGACGACTTTCGACATTGATGCTGACCTTGATAGTTTAACTGGACTCGCTAAGCTGAAGGCACCCGGTCAAGCATCCTCGCCATTTGGCACGCTGTCGTGTTACGTTGCATTGCTCGTATTCGACTCTCTAGCCAGTTAGTTGGAACGCATCGGTATTTTGGCATAACCATCCAAATATACTATTCCATCCGACTACGCTATCGTGTTCTTCCTTGGTCTCGTATTCGTGGGTATATAACAAGTTCGAATAATTAGTGATTGGTCTTTGCGTCTGTCAAGTTCGCACCAGGACAAATCCTAAATTGGTGAGCCCGACGTGATCACATATCCCGACCAATAACAAGTATTGAATTGGTGAGCCTGTTCCATTTTATATTTGTTTATTGTTTTCATTTCGATAACATTTATATATCCATTTACTACACTTTCTCATGTCCGACCACACTCCCAAGCTTATTCGTATTAAGCCGACTTCGAACACGATCCAACTCGTGCCATATTGGCCAGACAATGCAGAAACATGGTTTCTGTATGCCGAGGCCGATTTTCGAGAACAGGGTGTCTCAGATCCTCAATCTCGATTTCTTGCTGTCATACGTTCACTACCGCGAGAATTAAACAGGTATGTTACAGCAAACATGTTTAATCCTGAAGTAAGTAACCCTTATGCACTTCTAAAGGCCGCACTCTTGAAGAAAAGCGATCTCACAGATCGCCAACGTCTAGACGAATTGCTTCGTAACATCGAGCTAGGCAGCCACTCAGCTACTGAAGTCCTCGCACGCATGCGAGAAGTAATCGGTGCACGAACATTTGACGATGGTTTCTTCCGAGAACTATTTCTCTCGAAACTACCACAACCGGTGCAAACCGTGTTGGTGACACTCCAGTCAGTCCCACTCGACGACCTGGCAGCCTCAGCAGATAAAATACTGGAGATATCCAGCAGACCCGTCTCCAACGTATATTCTATCTGCGACAAACCAGAGCGCCAGGATTCAGAGGTGACCAAGTTGTGCAACTCTGTGAAACGGTTGCTACGATCTCGAAGTCCTAGATCACGTAGCACTTCACAGAAACGCACCTTGGCGCATCGCAGCAAGTCGCGTGGTAGCCCTAAAACGAAACCCAACAGGGTGGAAAACCCTGAATGGTGCTGGTTTCATAACACTTACGGGGATGAAGCCAGAAAATGTCGTAAACCATGCCGTTTTAAGAAGGACACAAACTCGGGAAACGGTCACGCCGGCACGTGCTCACGGCAACCGTAGCCGGCGGAAAAAGCCGTTTGCTCTACGTCACGACTTAAAACGAAAGTCCGCTACCTCGTCGACACCGGCGCAGAAGTTAGCGTTCTTCCAGCAACGACAAAGGAGCGTCATCTTGACCCATCCTTCAATCTTCAAGCAGCCAACGGCAAGGCAATCGCGACATTCGGGAGACGGTATGCCTACCTCAACTTAGGTTTACGCAAACCTATTCACTGGATTTTCCTCCTTGCAGACGTCTCTATGCCCATCATTGGCATAGATTTGCTAAACCATTACGATCTACTCGTAGATGCTCGCCGTCGACGACTGATAGATAACAGCACAAAGTTATCTATTGGCGGCACCACCTATGTAGGTCCGAGTTTAGCCATCGTTAGGACTAAACAATCAGCCGACGCGTCCTACCAGGCAGTTCTGGAGAAATATCCAGAGTTACAGCAACCGAAGCACACTCTTCCGTGCATAACCAGCAATGTTATGCATCACGTCACAACCACAGGTCCACCTGTGGCATCCAAAGCGCGCCGTCTAGCCCCCGATAAGCTCAAAACGGCGAAAAATGAATTCGACCACATGCTCGACCTGGGCATTATCAGACCGTCAAACAGTCCTTGGGCATCGCCATTGCACATGGTTCCCAAAAAGGATAGCAACGACTGGCGTCCAACCGGTGATTACCGAAGGCTCAACGCCAAAACAACTCCGGACTGCTACCCGATACATCAATACAAACCCTCGTACACTTTGCCTTTTTATATCAATTTTTATTACCATGTAATGAAATTTAAAAAAAAACCGGTGAAGATAAGCGTAAATTTTTATTTTTCGATATGTTTATATATAAATAATTCCCATTTTTACGCAACGTTTTCGTGGTATTAAAGACTTTTATTTATATTCCAGGTGCAACGAGCACTGGACGGAACGTCGAAAGGAACAGATGACCGCGACCGACGTACAATTTCATTTATTGTATTTTATTTATTTAATCGCCACGACACCCTAGAATAAGGTTCAGACAACCAGGGGCCACCTCACGCAGTGAGCCCATCGGAAGAGTTTTACCAGTGGAGAAACCACTGGGTTTTTACTTCCGGCTGGTATCGTCTTAGGGTCCTCACGAACCCACTAGGGGGGAGTGATCTGTAGCGTCATACACTTCCCCAAAATCAATAGCCTAGGGTTTGACGACTTTCGACATTGATGCTGACCTTGATAGTTTAACTGGACTCGCTAAGCTGAAGGCACCCGGTCAAGCATCCTCGCCATTTGGCACGCTGTCGTGTTACGTTGCATTGCTCGTATTCGACTCTCTAGCCAGTTAGTTGGAACGCATCGGTATTTTGGCATAACCATCCAAATATACTATTCCATCCGACTACGCTATCGTGTTCTTCCTTGGTCTCGTATTCGTGGGTATATAACAAGTTCGAATAATTAGTGATTGGTCTTTGCGTCTGTCAAGTTCGCACCAGGACAAATCCTAAAGAGCCATACACGTTGGTTATATAACTGTGGATAGTTTATTGATACTGCAGATTTCATAAATGGGTCCTTTATGGTTGGCAAATCTGAAAACTGTAGACCATTCTAAGTAATAAAGTGTTATATTGCTAATCAGCAAACTATGCGAATGGACTAACAACGCCCGTTGGTAATAACGCAAACTTTGAACACTGCGCGGTTTTGATATTGTTAGTGGAACGTGTCTGTGAGATGGGAAATGAAAATCCACACCCAGCTCATGAATTTCAGTAAATTTCAATAAGATTATGCACACTGATGACTTGATATGTAAATTATTTAATACTAGATACCAGTTCGTAAACCTTCAAAAATTATGAAATTGACGGTGCTTGTAAACTGGTATCCCTCATGTTAAACCTGTTGAATGAAGATAATATTTATTATTATCCAAACTTCAACACTCTGTGTACGCCGTAAAGTAATATTTCCTTGTTGGTTTCATAACTAGCAGGACCTTCGACAGTTATTAATTGAGTTTAATGACCTTCCGTCAGTACCACTCAGGGCTTAAGTCTTGTAGATATTTTGAGATATATTAGTGTGATGAAGCCTGTAAGCTGGCTTCTCTGATGTTAAACTTTTTTAGCGTGAGAATAAAACATTTATCATTTATTCATTTACTCGCTGGGAGTCTTTTAGAAGGTGTTTTCGAAGTCATGATGTAGTGAAACATTCTTAAGTTATGACTCACAAGCGCTTTGGCGAGAACCTG